CCCCCCCCCCCCAAATCCCACCAGCCCCCGCTACCTGATAAAAAATGAACGGTCCCTGATGGGCAAGGGCCCAGGCAAGTCATTGGCAAACTAAATCGCAAGTACACTGTATTATCTTACAGATAATACTTGCAGCCATTTGAAGGAAGTCCTCACTTGTCATATTTTAGTTGTAATTAATTATCCAGTATTTGACTAGTCGCTTTAATCTCCAAAAAGTGAACTCTAGTTGTTTTGTCCCAGATTGCTGCTGTGGGCGTGAATTGTACGTCTCCGTGGTTTGTTACGGTCTGTATTGAACTTCTTTGTTTACGTCAATGACTGCATTTAAGCTAATTAGACATTGTACACACGCACAGTCAAATAATTGTTTTTGGAATGACTTCTCAAATGGTAACACTTTTATTGTCCTTAAGTACATACCAGTAAGGCAATGTGCCTAAGGACTCCGCCATGTTCCCTTAAGTTTGGTCAATGTGTCTGTGTGAAGAATATGGCTTTGCCAATATTGATCTGTTTTATTACTTGTGGGCAAACTGTCTGACTCCTGTAATTAAAAAAGAGCAAGATTGCAAGAAAGACAAAACTTTATAGTTCAGGGCAAAAATGTTAATGTGTAGGCTGTCATATTACAAGAAAAGTTATTGGACTTATTGGTGTTCCAATTGAGCAAACCATAATAAAGCAAATTAACTGTCGAGACTTTTATCCCTTGCAGTCCCTACTGCAGAGTGCCAAAGGCAAAGTGGATGTTCCCTTTGTTGTGTACCCCCATACTGGTGAAGAGTGGAGGGAAGGAGGGTAAATTTAATTTTAAAAATTATTATAGACTACCAGTAGTCCCTTTTGCGTAGCCTGTTGTGCATGACGTGAAAGAAAACTGCGAGCGAACTCCTGGGGGCGAGAAGCACATGTCATGCGTTAAATTGATCATGTGCACATTACACAATTATTATTCCAACCCTGGCTGCACTGAATGTTACCCAACAATAATTTTAAACAAATTATACTAAATCACACTCAAATTCAGATTTAGTACAAAGTTGCCAGTTGTTTAAATCATGCTGGTTTTACCTAATAACTGATTTCTGATAAAATCAGATGTTATTCTAACTACAAGATTTGGTAGGATAATTGTGAGGTATTGTGGTTTGTTAGTGTTCTATAAATCTGTAATTGCCTCTGCTTTTGACAAAGGCAACCTGATTGCTCACCACTTGGAAATCAGGACATTCAACTTGTGCTTGCCAAATATTTCTATTCTATTTGCTTATTCCTCAGCTTTGGATGGGAGGGTGAAATTGAATGGCAACCAAGAGACGCTACCTTTGTCCGTGACCTAACCAGTTATGTTCTGGAATGGATAGACGCTGGTGCTCGTTGGATTGGTAAGTTTTATAAGTCAACACAATGTGGAGTGGTTACTCCAAGGAGGGGGGAGACTTCAATACTAAAAGAACAGAGGTGTTAAGTTTTTCAAGTTTGTCTTTTTCCAGCCAACCTTGCGAGAAAATATTTCAACGTTGTTTTTAGGGGGATTTGTTAAAGTAACATCATTCAAGTGTGGCTTCCAGTGATGTGAAGACAAAAACATCATGCTTTGTGTACCTTTTTTGTAGGAGGATGCTGTTTAACGAAGCCAAAGGACATAGCAAGAGTACGAGAAATAGTTGACAGATTTGAATAACCCTGAATCCCTCCCATCGTGATGTTAGTTTGGATTAATTAATTAAAAACCGTTGAACTAGTTGGATACATGTACTTCGTTATACTTATTTGCAAAAAAAAAGGCACAACAAAACAGTCATAAAACATGCTTTTATTTCTTAGAATGTTTTCGCAAGTATGCCAGCTATATGTCCAATAACAAGGCCTGTATTTGTAAACACTCTGAGGCTCTGACCCACACATGTTGTACCACAAACTTAGTTTGTACCAGACGAGGCATTACAAGCTGTAAACATTTAGATGGAATACCCTTTCCAAATAAAAGCTGATATATTAATGGAAGTGATATTTTGAGTTAATAAGGCCCCACAATAAAATAATTATCTTAATTTCCTTTGGACAATTCTGACCACATTTCACAATGTTGCGAGATGTTTTCTCAGAAGATGACTTCAGGGCATGGAATCATTTAACATATTGGTCTTAATTTAGCAATTTTGCATTCTGTTGAAAGACATCGTCATCCATTAGATTATCTGCACTAGTGATCTTGTGACATGAATAAAGCAATGAAAGTATTGTCATCAGCGAGTGTTTTTTTTTTATTGTAACTAATGAAGTATTGTAGATTACTCTTATAGCCTAGTGCTAGGAGATTTTCCAAGTAGTTTGAAGATCACTTGTTGTACATGGCATCAAGTTCCTGCCTGTAGTGAGCTGAGATGTTCTTACGCTTGAGCTTCAGAGAAGCTGTGACAAGCTCTGTTTCTGGTGTCCACTGTTCGGTGACCAGGGTCAAACGCTGTGGAATCTCAAACCTCTCGAGTTTCACTGAAAAAGTTGATAACAGTGCCTTGTAAATAACCCATGTAGCAATCATTTTCTTTTCACAAAGATGATTGGGCATTTTAGTGTTTTTTTTTTGTCTAAATACCACAAGGTTTTGATTTTTCTGCCTGTCTCAATAGTACTGTTCTTAGTTCTCAGTCAGTCAAAGTATTCTAACTTTTGAATCTTGTAAATGAAACCCTAGTGTGCAACCACTGACCAACTGAGCAGTACTAAATATTCTGTCCTATGCACTTTTCAACTTTCTCTTCTTAATTTTAACCAAACCACAAGCTTTCTTCATAATACTTACTAGCTTTGCCAAGGGCCTGCAGATCCTTCAGAACAGCATCTGTGACAGCCTTGTTCCTACACTGTTTTGCCCAGTCGTCAGTCAAGACACCCAGTGAAACAGCTAATGCCTTGAGCTGCTTGGGGCGAGCTACAGCAAGACACACCACATAGTTGTACAAACTCTCCGCATATACACAGATGGTCTCTACATACTGGCTCTGTGCAAGAGCTGCCTCAACTTTTCCAAGTGACACATACTCTCCTGCCTGAAGCTTCACAAGGTCTTTCTTGCGGTCTACATAAGCAAGCAGAAACATATATAATATTTGACTTATGAGGCAGTAATGTTGACTAAAAAAAAAATAATTTTTTGGCTACCAAAATTGGAATTGGTATCCACTTTTTGCTTGCATCTCATCACTCCTTTAGGATAAAAAAAGGCTGTTTTGCAATAAAAAGATATAATTATTTTCCTTTTACCAATAAGCAACTCTGTTTCATATTTTTCCTATTATTCCTGTTTGTTAAATATGTGTGTGACTTGAACATTCAGAATAACTTACATCTATTACATGTAATGGCTGTCCAGCATTGTCAACTTAAAGGTTATTACTTCAAGAAGCCAAAGAACTAAAATGCAATTTGTAAATACTTTTGTGGGCTCTGGGGTAAAATTAGCTTTGTTGCTGTGTTGTTGTTGCATCTCTGTCACTGTCTGAGCACTGTAATTTTGCATGAGGAAAAAAAGTCTCCAAGGAACACATATTACCTGATATTATTAGAAGACTGAGTATTGTTAGTTTGGTTTGAGAAATATCAACTCCAAGTTACAGAAATCAACAATCATGTTTAGCATTTACTGTTACTTCCAAAACTCCTGAAGAACTGAAGTTACACATCGTAATGAATTAAGTTACTGTAGATCTATTCTAAAATAGCTCCTCACCAATGATTTTAAGGCAGCCATCAGGGTGGAACTCTCCAATGTCGCCGGTATGGAACCAACGCTGGCCATTTCTGTCGACTTCAAAGTCCTCTGCTGTCTTTGCAGGGTTTTTAAAATAGCCCTTGGTCACATTTGGACCTCCAATGACAACTTCTCCTCTGGGGTAGGGCTTATCTCTGACTGTGTAGTTTCCTATTAAAATCAAATCACAACAGTACATTAGGTGATGTTTTTCCTGCAGTTTATGAGTGGTTGATAACTGGGGGTCAGTCAACAAAGCTACCGTACATGTACCGGTAGTCCAGGTTCAGTGTGAATATTTATATCAATTTTGAAGCTTTCCAGTTAGGTTCTCTGTTTATATTTGTTTGTCCTTCAAGTTTGATTTTGACAAATGAACAACTGGGCACTCACAACTTAGCAGCTCTGTAGCCATTATCTAAGTAGTAAACTTTCCAAAATACGATGACTCCTTCATGTAAGTAGTGAAATACTAGTTCACAATAATGATGACTGAATACTACATGTAATGCAGTTACACAAAATAATTGAGAAGCATTTATCACTTATTTTGACACAGACATTTGATGTGATCAGTGGCACTCAAAAACATGCTAAGTGCTCAAAAGTTACAATAATTATGGTATGAAGGATATGGAGGACCAACATTGCTGACATACCTTCCTCCCAGCTGACCAGCTTGATCTCAGTTGAGGAGACTGGAGGTCCTACACGCCCAGTTGTCCTGTCCCAGGCTAAACAAAATAAGGCATTTGTTGCATAGTGATTCATATGGGTGATCAGTTGCATACTTTCCTATGCTGGGCTTAATTATCCCACACGGAAAGATTGTATGATGAGCCCAAGAACCCTGATTAGAAGGCTAGATATCGGAAAGAATATGTGCAGGGCTGTCATTATACAAATAAGTGCTGTAACCAGTAACACCTGTTACGGCTGAGTATGCTTGATTTTTCCTTGATGCTACCGGTGAAATTGCCCGTTGTTGATAGAATTCAAACAAAAAAGGAACAAGTTTGCTACAGGTGTGGAGAGTGAGGCTACTGGTGGCTCAAAACTTAATGACAGCCCCATATGTATGTGTAATCAAATGTTAACGAGTGAAATTAGGAAATAATTTCATGTGCATTTTGTCAAAAATTAATTATCAGAGTTTTTTTAGAATTTTAACAAAACGTAACTGAATTTATTTCCTAATTTTATGAGGATACCATTTGATTACCTTTAAATATTGCAGGTAGCAAATTACACTATAGGATTACAATCAAGGGCTTTTGACTTATCTATTTGTGGGGAGAAATATTGTGCCAAACATTGCCATGGCAATTTTGTTATTTCACACCTGAAATTATAAATTATTGCTGAAATTTTATGCCAAAATTAAGGAAAAATTTGTCTCCCACAATGTTATTAACTTAAATTTAGGTTAATTTTCATATCAAAAGTTTTTGACATACCAAGTTATTGAACAAATAAATCTGTCAGACACATCACAGTATGTAAACAAACCTCAATTAAAGTATTACGCCATAAGTCATTACAAAATACAAGTACCAGTACATGCAATACATACCATTGCAGACAGTTCCTGCTCCACAGGTTTCAGTGAGACCATAGCCTTGCCCCACAGGACAACAGAAGCACACGTTCATAAAGAGCTGAGTGTCTTCAGATAATGGTGCACCACCACTCAATATCTGCCTTACGCGACCCCCCAGAAGATTGCGCATCTTTGAGAAGATGAATCTGAAGAAAAGAAATGAGGTCAGAAATAAGGACCGTGGTGTTATCATCTGCATGCATTCAAAGCAAAAGTATACTTTTATAATATTTCACAAACCTCTGAGAGGAAGGATGTTTAGAAGTCTTGATTTATTTTTCTATGATATTTTATGTAAAACTTACTTGTTAAGAAGTGGAGTATCAAAGCCAAGCTTAAGTTGCTTCAGTTTGTAACTGTAAGCAAATGCAAAGAAAAGCTGCAGAAGACGAGGACCCTCCTTGACTTTTTCCATGACGCCCTGTCTGATTCTGTCCATGATGACAGGAACTGCGGCCATTACAGTTGGTCTGAGCACTGATACGTCTCCTTTAGTTCCTTTCTTGATTTTAGATGACTGTATGAAGACATTGAGACATTAAATTTATGTTACATAAAATGGCAAACAAGTACACGTACCAAAAGCAAAGCCGACATGTATTTATTTCTATGAAGGAATTAAGTACCAAGGAAAATTCAAAGCTTTGTCTTTCACAAACAGCTCTATATACTAGTCATGGCAGAGGTTTGTCTGTTTTTTTTTTTTTGTACTAAGAGCAGTCAAGATTTCTTTTACGAAAATGTAGAGGAATTTTCCAAGTGAACTATGCTTTGTGGGGAGGGAAATGAATTTAGAGTTAATTTGTAATAATTTACAGAGCAGGGCCCGGTTGTTCAAAAGCCAATTAACGCTAATCCAGGATTAAAAGTAAATCAAAGTTCTTATTTCTCTTGAATAAAAGTGTTTTCACTGTCCATGTTTCCTGGAGTTTGACATTGGTCAAAGCCAAAATTGAAGGACAAAAAATTTAAACAGAAACCTTCACTGAAAAGTTACAAAACTGAAATAAAAATTAATGCTAATCCTGGATTAGCTTAATCATACTTTGAACAACCTGGTGCTGATGTCCATACAGATGTATTTGGGCTGTCATTAAACAACAACAGCGACAAAAAGAAAGAAAACAAAACAATTTATAACAAAAACGTTTTAATAGGCCCTCTTTAGAAAGATAATGACAGACATATGAAACAAAAAAGAACTGAAATTACCTGATCAGATAGAGTGAGAGCGTGGGAATATCCTATGGCTGCCCCATGAGCAAGCACTGCATTTTCTGAAACAAAAACCCACAGTATCTAATAAACTATTAAATGGCAATAGCAAGGACATACAAGACTCTGTTATGTGAATCCTGCCGTAACTTGCAACCCCATTCTCACCGGTTGAACAGTAGTAATGTGCATGTATTGTTTTGGCAAGTCCTCAGAAGAATTCCTCGAAAATCTGTTACTCTCAATGCAAAATTAGAACAGAACAGAACAGAACAGAACCACCAATAAAAGGAGATTGGTGAATATTAAAAAATGTTGGAACTAATTTTGATGTGAAATGGCAATCAAACTGTGGTTGTCGTTTATTTTCCTTTATGTGCTGTTTACTATGAATAACAACAACAATACAAATATAAATTTCTTTGAAAAATGTCACCCCCAAAACAAATATTTTAAACCACAACACATACTGTACGTGCCTGTCAGTGGATAGACATTACCTGCTATTAGCTCAAGTACATGTGCCAGTGGAAGATAACCAACATAAACATCTTTTTCACTGGAAAAGAACCAAAATATAACCATATGATCCTATGACAGGAAGCCAGGCAGGGCACAGGTACCAGACTAGGTAACTCTGTCAATAGCACTTTTGTTCTAACAAAGTTCTATTTTTCTACAAAATGTACTCTGAAAAGGGCATGTATCCTGCCTTAAAACTACTTCAGCTGAGCAATTTTGTGTTTTACTTTTTTATGTTTTTTACTTTTTCTCAACTGTAACTAATTTTAAATTTCTTGCACATTGTTAAACATTGTCTGACAATGCAATCTGGGTCTTTCTACAATCAACATCTTCAAGATCACAACAAATGTTCAATTACAAAAACTGTATTGTAAAACTGACTTACCTAAGAGCAGGATGTACTCTTGCAATAATTCCAGCGATACCAGCCATTAATGCACTGTGAGGAATGAGAACACCTACAACACAAAAAATACACTTGCGTTATTTTTCACAGAATTACACTTGCAAGTGCAGTTTCATGAAAGACAAGTCTGTCAAATAGAGCTGCATTCAACTGAAAGTCGTGACAAATAATCACTCTGGATGATCACCAGACAAAAACCAGTGCATCCATCATAACCTAAAGCAAAGTCATACAAAGTGCAGGTAAACTGACATGCATGTGCAAGCGAGTCCCAGTTGGTTTTAGTTTTAGCCTGCGAGTAGGATCTAGTGTCTGGGTTTCGCACTCAGGCAATGGTTCCTTGCTTTTCGCTCTGGTGCACAGGTGAGTCTAAGAATGACATGGGGGTGGGGGGGGGGGAGTGGGTTGGCTCAGAAACTAGAGTTTGGGCAAAAGCCACTGAATTCAATCTCGTGTAGCAACAGAAGTCAGTAGTTGCTGCTTGCTTCAAACAGGACTGATCAACTTTGCTGCATCACCTTTGTAGCAATATTTCACTAAAAAGCCAGCCCAAATTTCTTATTCTGCAAGCACTGAGACCAATGTTTCCAGTATATCACCAGCTATGATCACTGCCAGCACAATGTCACAACTACTGTCCTGACTGGAAACTTTAATTAAATTTTCTGTGGATTTCCAGCCCAATATTCCAGTACTGTATTTCACATTAAACTACACACCTATGAACAACATCATCATTGGCATCAATCAGTCTTAGAGACTATGGAGCTGCGCTCTGGATAGTAACAAACAAATTAAAGGAACAGGGAGGGAAAGGCTTACCTTTAGCAAGACCTGTTGAACCACTTGTGTACATGATGACAGCAACATCATCTGGGCTAGGACCCCTCTGGACTAAAGATGCTAACAAACAATGAAGAAAGAACAAATTCATTCTAAAAGGAAAACACTGTATGTGGGTGTTCTAGTTATGAAATATTTCCACCGACTCAGTGCCAGTGGTGAGTGGAGTCATGAATAGGCCACGTTCAATATATCAATATTCTAACATGGCTCCGAGGCTTTCGCATCAAAATTGTCAATTCACTAAGTTTCTATTGTCTCTCAATTCCCAAAAGAGACCTGGATACAAAGAAAACAACACCAAATATAGAAGTTTGTCCTGAAAGCCTCGGAGCCATGTTAGAATATTGATATATCGAGCATGGCCTATTACACAACAAGAAAATCATTGAAAGTTTTGATTACTCTATCCAGCTACACTGTCCTGGTCTTGAACACTTTGCTAGGAGAGTTAAAAACATTTCCAGTAACCCAGTTCTAGCAGAATTTATGGGGGGAAAAGTTGCTAACCTCTTACTAACCAATCTAAATCAAAGGCAAGATAAAACAAGAGCTTACGGTTAATTTGTGATTCACCGATCTCTTCAATTTCACTCATGGAATGGACTTTTATTCTCCTTGAAAAGCCTAGCAATGCTGATTTCTTTGCAACATTTCCTAAGTACACAATGTGTTCAACTTTCGGTAGTCTGTCAATCAGAGCAGAAAGCTTGCTGAGCAAAGAGCTATCGGTGATAATAAATCGGACTTCTGATTCGTTGATGGCATGAACAAGGGCTTCATCTCCCAGAGTGGTGTAAACTGTAACAACTGAAAGTATGATGAAACAAAACCTATGTTAATGGGAAACCTTAAAAACAAATCATACAAAGAAAAGAGGAATTACAAAAGATGCATCAATATTTTAAAAAAATACATATCAGTCTATGATTATCATTACAAATTACAATATATCAGTCTTAGAACAATGCTGATTGTTTTTAATTACCACTGACAACTATCACGTGAAATGCAGTATTACATCATAGGAATACAAAATATGAATTGAGTTCTAAATGCGAGTTGCCCTCAATAACATTAATAGCAATAGTTTCAAACAGAAAATCTGCTGGATAGATCCTCATATTTTGCACGATTACCACTACGACTAGTTAACATACATGTACATTTGGACACTGAGTCAGTTCTTCAGATTTCTTTCCTTTCCTCTCTCATTTAAAACCAGATACCCACAGTAAGGGGAGGCCTCTTCCTCATCCAAACAGATACATGTACAAACATCTTTCTAATGATCTGCTATTGATTGCTGAAATATTCTTACTAAAAAAAAAACACTCTGTAACAGTACTGTTCTTTCCTCCCGATCAAAATCTACAAGAAACTGCCGTGTGCATGTGACTATCAAAGACAGGCTTTTCGCCAGAGGGTGTCCAGGCGTCCTGTGGAGGGCCACTTTCGAAAGAAAGTTATTTTATTTTTCATATGTTGCCTTATACATTGCTCATTTGAGGAGGCCCAATAGCACATTTTGGACAGCCACTTTTCAAATTCTGGCTAAATGCCTGATCAATGATAAAGGTTCTTTCAAACGAAAAACGTATCCAACTATCTAAGAAAATACATCCTTGAAAAGAGTTTATATAACTGTGAACAGCACATAATTCAAAGTAACATACTTGGAAAATTTTGAGCAAAACATCCCTGTGCTGCTATTATCCACTCAGCTTTTGTTTCAGAGATTATTGCAATGTTCTCTTTGAGCTGCTGTCCTAGAGCAGCCAATCCTCTTCCAAAGGCTCTTGCTCTGGCATCTACCTCGGCATATGTCAACCAGTTGTACTCCCCACAAATAAGTTTCTTAAACACTCTGCCATTGGGTTGCATTTCATCTTCCTCCCTGAGAACTTCGCGCGTCCCTAGACATTTTCTATATGGGTACAAGTTCACAGCTCGCCTGAAAGAAAAACATATTTTTATGAATAACTACATTTGTGACTAGACTGCTTATGCAAGCTCACGTCAATCAGAGATCAAACTGACTGAACCGGGTCAGTTTTAATATGAATATAAAAATTGCTAATTATTATTATTGCCCACAGTGGAAGTGACTGATGAAATTTCTTCTGTTACAGTAGAAACCTAAAGAAGCATTTTGCTAACAACTCTTGTGAGCTGGAAGGTACAGTGTAGATCTATAGCCCACACAATCATCCTGAGTTTTAGTAGCTAAGCAGAAGATGACAAACACAATCCACTGGTTTGTACTGATAATTAATATGCAAAATGATGATAGAATGACTTGCCCTTTATTTGCCTGCACATGTAACTGCAGTATAAGACAAAGTGCAATCAAATGATCACATAGTAGCATTCCCATGTAGATTTTAAGGTAAAAGGAAAAACGTCAGGTCAATATAGTAGGGAGTTTGAAATATCCCATAATCAGTGACCAATTTCAAACACTGAATGATCAATCTAGTGACCAAAGCTCTTTATAATATCCTCCACAAGCCACTGCCTTGAATTTTCTAGAAGCTGCAACATGTTATGTATTGTTTATTCAAGTGCCCCTTCAAATGTAAGAGAAAAAAAAATTAACATTGCAGGATCAAAGTACCAGCTGTAATTTTCCAGCATGCTCTGGCTTCGGGTGATTCCCTACATTTATGATGATTGATTTTTTTTTAATTATGAATGTTGAGCACTGTATTGTAAAAAATATATTTAAAATGAAAAATGTGGGAACAAATGCAATGACTACTGAGGAAGTATTGGAACTTGCACACGACAAAGGATAAAGTCTGCTGTTAATTAAGCTGTTTCTTCAGACATCGCAACTCCATGCATGGCCACATGGGTCTACTTGTTCATCCCAAGTGTCTAATTTAGTTTTGGCCTCAGGAAAAGTAATAATTATAAAACATTCCTGTTGGGGAAAAATGGTGACTTACTAATTTGGAATTGGCAAATACATTGACATATTTAAAGCGTGCTACCAACCTACGAGTGTCCAAGAAAAACAAGTTTATTTCAGGCAGTCTGGTAATGTAACTGCCATAAAATCTTGTCTAGTTTGTACTGTAACATGCAGCAGGACTGACCAGTACAAATATTGAAAAACAACCATTTTTAACGTAACAATCAAGCCAGTGGTGGAAGTGACAAACACAGTCTCTGGTTTGGTATATATACTAATAATTTATATGCAAAATGATGATAGAATGACTTGCCCTTTATCTGCCTGTACATGTAACTACAGTACAAGACAAAGTGTGATCAAATGATCACATAGTAGCATTTCAGTGTAGATTTTAGGGTATGGGGAAAAACATCAGGTCAAAACAGTGGGGAGTTTGAAATATCCCATAATCAGTGACCAAATGCCGAACATTAACCCATCAAACTAGTGACCAAAACTCTTTGTAAAATCCTCCCAACTTGTCTTGAGAGACTGATATAGAGCTATAGAAATGAGTATTGCAAAATTGAGTATTTACAAAATTAACAAAATTTTACAAGCTCTACCAAATGAAAGAAATGCCACAAGCCGCTGCCTTGAATTTTCTAGAAGCTGCAACATGCTATGCATGGTCTATTCAAGTGCCCCTTCAAATGCTGAGGGAGAAAAAAAAATTAACATCGCAGGATCAAAGTATCAGCTGTAATCTTCCAGCATGCTCTGGCTTCATGTGATTCCCTACATATATGATGATTTTTTTTTTATACTATGAACCTCAAGCAGTGTATTGTAAAAAAACATGCAGGTACAAGTGTGATGACTACTGAGGAAGTACTGGAACTTGCACATGACAAAGGATAAAGTCTGCTGTTAATTAAGCTGTTTCTTGAGAAATCACAAATCCATGCACGGCCACATGGGTCTGCTAGTTCATCCCATGTATTTAATTTAGTTTCGGCCTCAGTAAAAATAATAAACTGCAACACATTCCTGTTGGGAGAAAAAGGCGACTTGCTAATTTGGAATTGGCAAATACATTGACCTATTTAAAGCATGCTGCCAGACTACGAGTGTCCAAGAAAAACAAGTTTATTTCAGGCAGTCTGGTAATGTAACCGCTATAAAATCTTGTCTGGTTTGTTCTGTAACATGCAGCAGCACTGACCAGTACAAATTTTGAAAAACAACCACTTTTAACATAACAATCAAGCCAGCGGTGGAAGAGACAATAATGGTAATCGTCAATCAGGCGGAACATGGTGTCTAGACTATAATAAAAAAACAAACTGAGTTTGCCAACTCCTGCAACATAAACATTGCAACCACTTTAAGAGAGTAAATAGCTGTTGTGTGTGGCTCAAGAGGTAGATACTGTCCAAAATGTTAATATTACGCTTGTTATGTAAAAAATATACCAAACTAAACTAGGACTGAAAGGGTTCAAACTCTACTTTGATGTAGTTTGAGACAATCTGTTCACAAACAACGTAATTAGTATTTTTGTGCCTCCTTCCACACCTCTGGATATTATGTCTGCACAGTCTAATTTCTGATTTTGAAAAGTGTAAAGATCTAATCCATCAAGGCAGATTTTTGCTGTATATATTCCAAGCTTAATATTGATTTGGTTTCATACAGCACAAATTCCAGAAACCATTAAAAATATTACTTTTCTACCCTTTACACCGGCAGAGCAAGCGTTGACTCATTTCTTTTCCAGCCTGTACACAATAATTATCCACAATAGACGAAACCTTATATACAATTACATCAAAGCACCACAAAGACCCGTATTCAAGCTACAAATTTTACGTGTTTTGTACTGCGAACAATTACGGAAAAATATAGTACAATATGACTATCATTTAGAACAACGGCCGGTATAATCACAACATGCAAATCAAACTGCACAAATTAAAGCAAACTCAGGAACGAAAGATGTCTCTCCATGCGTAACCTTAAGCGCTTTAATAAAAAGAAGACTTTGGTCCTTCTAGTTTCTAAATACGTAAATGTTGCAATGAATCGACAACACAAAATTACCTTTGATCTTTGATATAATGGGATTAACAGTACATGAAAGTTTCACCTTGAATAACCTTGATCGATGTACCGAACGAGAAGCAAATAAGAGATCGACCATCAACCTCACGTGGAGGAAAACAAAGTATGTTTGGAAAGGAACACTGAATATCTTGGTATAAAACTGGTTTTATTAAAATACATCTCTTCAAAGCGGAGACGTTATGCAGCGACGTCAGAAATGACCCGTTGATCTGAAATCAAAAACCATCTACCAGCCTTTAAAACGCTTCAATTTAGGTCAAATGTTTACAACTTGTAGATCTTTGAAAACTTCTTCACATGCAAGGCTAGCTGGGCAAAAATTAGTTATTTGCTTGTCGAAGACGATCCAAAATATAACTCTGAACTGTACTTACTTAAATAGTTGATCCAACGTTGTGACACCATCGTACAGCGTTGTCACTAATGAATCGAAATGTTCCACACAGCGATAAGGGGCTCCTGGAAGTTGACTCACAGGCCTCGCTTGAACTTTATTGCGAGGTCGATACTGCTTCCTTCCCACTAGGTAGTACCACGGCAAAAAACTAACTACTCCCCATAACCAGCCGGCCATATTGAGGCTGAAAAGAAACACATTTTCCAAGAAGGTCCGCTCCATGCTACCTACACGTACACGTACCGTCAACAGACTGAACTCAAAAAGAGAGACACTAGTTGTGTGGCGAACAAAGTCCACATGACCCGTCACTCATTGAGATTCCCGCCGACCAGCTGCGCGCGCATTTCTGCTTGTCACCCCATTTTGCGTCAAAACAGACGATGATGAGGCCTCACAACTGCAGCCAGTTTTCTCTGTTATAAAAGCGTGTCCGTATTCTTCGATAAAAACTAAAATGTTTTTCAAATTTACCCGTGCTGAACGCGTCAATTCACGTGGGAGTATGACCCGAACTTTGACCGCATATAAATTATTTTCAACGCTATTGTGACGTCATATTAAATTAAACTTGACAGGGAGGAGGTGTGGAGTATTTTTGTCCCTCCCCTTTTTAGTAAAGGAATGTATAGGATTACAGTCTGCAGGACGTAGTTCTGGATTTTTGGGCTTGGTTTTGTATGAAATTCACTGATTAATTAAAGAAGTAGAAATATTGGAAAAACAAAACAAAAACATTTTGGGCAAAATGAGTGTTATTTATGAGTAACTACTTTCGAGTGGGCTTGTGTTAGTAATGCAGTTCACTTCTCGGGAAAAATTTACAGAAAAATGTATGCTTACTTCCCACAAACTATTGACACATCTGTGTTTAATATTTTTGCCTGGAAATTTTATGAATTAAATTGCACTAATTTACAAAAATAAATTCAAAGTGAATTACTTGAAACTGCCTAATAATTATGTTTTTTACCAGGAAAAAAAAAAAAAAAAAAA